CCAATATTTGCATATTTTTTAGAAAAGATTTTCCAAGAGGTTGACCGTGTAACTCAAGTCTAACTCAAGGGGTGAGTCATTGGAGTTGGAGTGGGGGCTACTGAAGAATTTTCCAAATTCAGCTGTTACAATTCCACCTAACTGTGAAGACTATGTCAACTCTTAACTTCAAGACGTGTTACACACTGTCACGCCGGATCATTATCTGAAAAGACTCGTTAAGAACAATATGTGGATCCTTCTGTATTGGATCGTATTGTGGAATATAATGAAAGAATCTTAACTTTTTCTCAACTTGATTGACATATTCTGTTTTGTTTTAATTTATTTTTTATACTCATTTTTCACAATACATTCATATAAAAATATTTTATACTTAAATTCAAAAAAAATTCTTATTTTTTAACCACATATTTTCCAAAAAATTACTATTCAAAACTATGTTTTTAAAATTTTAAGGATGTCAAACAGGGACATATAATTTGATACCATCATATGCTTTAATCTACTTTACCAGTTAAGCTACATAAAAGTTACATACGTTTATGACTATATATAATAATAATAATAATAATAATAATAATAATAATATACATTTGTTACGTGATATTATAAAAAATTTGGATAATATAGCCAACAAGATTCAAAAAATTAAATAGAGTAAGTGATCACCAAAAAATTTCCGTCAATAATCCTGAATAGTTCATTTTAGATGATTCTAGTGAAATTCAATATTTAACAGTTTCGAAAGAAGTCATCGATACTGATATATTGGTTATCATCAATGCATTCCCTCATCTATTACAGACGATAATATTGTCGATGGTGTCAGCAGAAAGCAGCAAAGATGCTTCAGTCACAAAATGTTAGGGCTAGACATGACCGGTTCGGTTCAATTCGATTTTAAAGATAATCGAGTTGAACCTGAATTTTTAGATATTTAGTAAGTGAAACTGTCGAATCCAAATTAATTATGGAATTCGATTATGTTCGGTATGATTCGATTCGGTTCCATTTGGTTCTTGAGTTCTGTACCATAATTATTTTTTTAATATTTACAAACAACACTATATTAATTCAACTAATGACATGTTTAATCTTAACTTTTACAAAATAACGTAGTCCAATTTTAAACTATATAAATAACAAGTTGTCTAATAAGATTCATTCACAATTGTATACAAATTATCTTTATCAAATTGGAGAAAGTTCAATAAATATGACAGGAAATGATAAGATGAAGAGAGGTATAGCAGTT